TAACCCATTAGCCGCTGGTGTTGCGTTGACGCAACGGTCAAAACAAATGCATATATAAATATAACTACCTAAGATATTTTATACCAGCAGATGATTCTGTGTAGGGAATATTATGAAGATTATTTCTGTAAAAAAAATATTTGCCTTCAACAATCAATTTGTTTATAATAATTAATCTCATACTTTAAGCAAAATTTAATCAACTTTTTCGACCGGATATTTTTGCTGAAAATATTTAACGAAAAAATTGTCGTCTTTATGAGTGATCTATTTTTAGACAAGGTCACCGTTCATCAGAACATTACATCAGTCAGATGTTTATATTTCTGTTGCGAAGGAATGGAAAACAGGTGTTGCGTTAACGCAACGTCAGCAGAAAACGGGTAGTCAATCTTTTTTTTTAACTCATTCCTTTCGATGTTCTGATTGTTTAAAAATGCCTAGAATGAGGTATCTTACATTATAAGAAGCCCTTTAAAGATTTTTTGATGAAGAAACAGATGATGATAATGTTAATAATGACCAGAATGAAACTGATATTGTTGTTCCCCCAGAAGTTGCAGAGGCTAGTGACGAAGAAGAAAGGAATGGCAATGTTTTAAATAATGATATTGATATTTTACCAAATGATACTGCTGTAAAAGTTGAAATTCACGTATGAAGTAAGTTTCAGCCTTCTAAAAGCAGTTATAGTCATACTAAAAAGTTTAAAAAGCAGACGACTGAGATCTTGAAGTGGATAAAAAAAAGGAACTGTTAGTTATGTCTCAGGAAGAACATGAAGAAAGAGATAGAAGAGAAATTATAAAAGACAAAACACGAGGTAAAACCAGTGCACAGATTTTCGATTTTCGTTTTGGTTTAGACATTTAATCTCTTCTCGTTGAACAAACAAATATATACGCTCAAAAAAAAAAAAAAAAAAAAAAAAAAAAGCCCAGAATTTATTGCATCTGAAGCCTCTATATGAGAAGATTTTTTGGAATATTATTGCTTACAAGATAAAAAGAAATACAATGTATATTTTAATATTAAATTAATTACAAGTAAAGTGATTTGTAGATTTAGAAAACGTTATAAAGCTGAAAAGTAATCCTGCGCTCCACTCAAAAGAAACATCACACGAGTACAATCCTACTCACTAGACATCCGTAGTCTTATTCCGCTGACGTTGCGCAAACGCAACACTCTTTTTCCCCCAGGTAAAAGCATTTTTTTTAAATTTTCAATGTAAATTTATGTTATAAATGCTTAATTTAATATTTGTTATTATTTTCATGAGAAAAGAAACGTTTCTTGTAGTTTTGGCGGTTAATGGGTTAACCCAAAAATTGTTTCCTGAATGCGAATCATGAATTTTCAAATTTTGAATCTTCCGAATCATTGGTATAAGAATGGAACAATTAAAAAGAAGTAAATGTAATAAAAGTTTTAATTAAAGCAAAATTTGAAATCTGTATTTGATGAAAAACATATTTCGGATAAATTAAATTAATAAATAAATTTATTTAGTGTTTCATTGTTCTTTTATTGCTTTAAATTGTAGTTTAACTTAAATTCTCTTGAAGTACTAGGAAAGTCACTAAATTTTAAACATTTCCTTTTATTTTCGACAGTGAAATGTGGAATTCCTTCATTACAAAAAACATTATTTTTTAAAATTAAAACCAGCTCAAATGGGAACCGGTGGCCCCCGCCCCCAATATCAAGATTTCATTCACTTACTAACCTTACTAATAATGTAGATGTCGTCTGAGGATAAAATATCTTAAAATTCCAGTTGAAACGTTTCAGCTGAACATTTCCTGTTGAAATTCCCAGAGTTACAGCACTCTATATATTAAATATTTCGTTTCATTTTTCACATCATTTATTAGTCCAAAGGGACAATTTGCCTATTATTATCGTTTTGGCATTTTGCGTTAGTTCACTATAAATGTGCGATTCGCTTTTCACCAAATATTAGCACCCTGTATTATATTTAAAGAAATTAAATAATGAAGAATCTGCATAAATGTATGTATTTTTCTCGCATTGTGATAAAACGACGGTACCTAGAGCCATCCAATTTTGAATAAAGTACGTTTCCACCCGAATATGGACATCTGGAAACCCAAATTTGGAATATGGAATTTGTTTTATTATCTATTTCATATTTTGTAAAACTTGATAAAAATAATTGATTGTAACTAATTTCTGATTAATAAACTCAACGATTTAAAAGCGAGCAATGGCAACACTCTACAGGAAAAAAACACCTTTTTATCTCCAGCTCGCGGAACTGCGTATCAGAAATTCTAAAGATATGCTCATGTTAAATTTATTTTGCGATATTGCTGTTGGACTGAATTTTATGGTTTAAGTGCGAAGAACATGATATTTAATAAATAAAGGTAACACACAAAACGTTAAAAAAAAGCCCCTTTGGACGTAATTTAAATCTGAAAGCTTTACATTTTTTACTTTATTATTATTATCTTTCACTTTCTTAATTTTTGGGAATAAAAAGAAACTAAATGTTGATCTGCAGCATCGAAATTCCTTACTATTACCAATCAATGTGTCTTTCTTCATTATTGTTTTATATGAAGCAAGCTCAAATGTTTGAGTATCAAACAGGTGTAAAATATTTCTCCCTCTGTAGCCAAAAACCCCAAAGTCGCATCCATGCACGCAAATAATTGTTTGTAAGCGTGTCTGCAAAGTCTCCACGAAATGAATCTGGTAGCCACGAACTAAAAATTCAGAAAAGAGGTCATAACGCCCATCTGCACGCTATATTTACGAATATGTTTGTCCTTCTTTTCGACTAATATCAGTATTTCTACGATTTCAACAATATTAAGTTCAGTGAAACAGAATTTTTCAACCAGTCATAATGAAATCTCCTTTGTTTCATGAAATTTTAATGCTTGCTACTAACTAAATTTTGTTTCCAATGATGTAAAAAGAAACATAATATTTTTACACGGCAGATAGGCTCTGAAAACATGCAAAAGTAAACTATTAGGGCATTCAAAAAGTATGTTAAACTTGAATTTCAGTTGTAGGTAAAGAAAATTTCATTGAGCATTGATCTGCGATACAGCATGACAAGGATATATTACACTACTTTTCAGCATAATTACCCCGTCTCTGCTGACACTTATCTGAACATTCAACCAATCATTCAGTTCCTCGTGAACAGAAATCTACTTTCTTGTCATGGAATCATCGCATGAATTATCAGCACAGTGTGTTCTGTTGATGGTCTTCCTTGTGTTACCGGCAACAATTCAGCCGTATTAGAACCGCTGAAAACATTTAACTAGGCTGAATGTGACAATGCTTTTAATACACTCTCATAATTTCCATACATTTCTATGTATATTTAAAATGTTTTGGCCACACAAATCACATTGTTTCTCTTTCTTCAACCTTAGTTTAAACAACCTTAGTTTAGAGTAAGTTTCCAGTTAATATGCCAATTTGCTATTGTGCTATGATGCACCTCTTATCATTCCTATTATGAAATTACTTCTGCAGCAAGGGTGTTGACATAAACTTTATTCTGTACACGATCTGTTCTTTTGGAATTCTTTTAGCCAAGAATGATAACTGCATCTTAAAGCTGAATCTCCCAAAATTAATAAATAAATAAATAAAATAAAAAAAGATCAAGTGGGATTTTAGGAGCAGGAAATCTTGAAAAAGTTATTGTACCATCTCTCGGTGTCGAGCACGAGATCTTTAATGTGTCAAACCGATATGATAGCTGTTAAAACCCAAGAACACATGTGAGTAATGTGCTAACTCCTTACATTCTTCACAAACTTAAGAGCGGCTGAGAAGAGATGGTGCCCCCCAGTGGATCAACCCTATCTTGGAGACGAGTTATTATTCGATATTTTAATTCTAAAGCCAAACGTAGAGAAAAGAGGAAGGTTCTAAAAACGAAAAACACTTGAAAATATATTGTGTTTTTGCTAGGAGTCAAAAGAAGAAATCTTCTGTAAAATGTAGCGGATGAAGGCACTCCTTCGATATGTTTCTGCATTGCAACTGTTACCATGTCGATTCGGCACACCGAAGATCCTGTATTTAATTTCAAGATAAGTCACAAGGAATTCTTTAAGAATCTTTACACCTAAAACTTCTTAAGATCTCTATATCTTAGAAAGAAGAAGTCTTATTTAACAAAAAAGTAATAATTAAATGCATTTATACCTAGAGTATTATTACAAATTCCCTTAAAACTCAACTTCATTTCCAATTTAGAACTAAAATAAGAAGATCCTTGCCGCTGCGAAAAATTAATGAGGAAGTTTCAATGATATGTTTTGTACTCTCACACTTACTATACATTTAGCATTTAGTATCATTGCCCATAAAGTTTGCGTGCCTGTATTTAAGTATATAATGCACATTATTGCCATGAAAGCAGTCCCTTAATATGAAGTTCGTTACTTACTAACATTTTCTCGATACACATTATATTCTTGCGTGTCTTTCGAATCATAAATAGTCTGTCGAAGTAAAGGAAACCACTTACTGTCTTCCGCAACTTTATTTTGATCGGAGAGGTAGACGCTTTTTTTGAGTAAATATTATGAAGTCATGGATTAAGAATGTTACCTTTACGTTCAATTCGATAGCAAAGACACGTCATTTTTCTTTTAATATATAGACGTTCTATTGGTTACTTGCATTATAGTGACAGAGAACGGATAACCAACTTCCTGTAAATGTCAATAACCGATTTTTAGAGCTGAACAAAGTCTGAATCGAACTTTTTATGTAAGACGTGGGTGGTTAAAAAAAATCTGTTCATACAATAAAACCGGGAAAATAAAAATCTGTAAATGTCAATTTAGCGTCACTGAAAACCATAAAGCATTGAATCGTGATTCATCGTAGTTTTAAAGAGAAAATGAAGAGCATACTGATGTGTAGTTTACATTTTGATTTCATTTTTCTAAAAGTAATGTTTTCTAAAAGTAAGTTTTTTTATTTCCTCATAGAGTCTGTCAGATGCAGTTTGAAAGAAGCCAACTGACAGATTGTTGCATTCTTATTACAGAATCACTATTAGAATTATTATAACTTCTACGTGTGAAATTCAACCTAGATGTTATCCTAATGGCTCATTACAGAGTCATCTGAACTGCTTGGTAAGTTAACATCTTATAACTACATAACTGTAAACACAAACACAAGTTAAATGCTTTTAAATATTATTTATTTATTTACTGCTGGTGAATAACTAAAATGATTGACTTATCGTTACACAAAATTACAAGATAGGCTACTTGCTGTGGTTACTAAGACTCAAATTACTTACAACAGAATCTTAAATTCAAACCTACAGCACCTAGTCAGCTGCACTATCAATAAAATTCGTAAACCACTTATCATGGGGCAGCGATTACTAAGTTTAGTCACTCAAAAACATAGCCAGGAGATACTGCTAAGTCAAATACGGTGGAAAACGCAATAGCTTTGCGGCCAAGATTAACCTCATACTTTTAAATTATGTTGCAGGCCATTAAATTTGCATAAAATATTGGTCTGAGAAAATATTATATCAAGAGAAAAGAAAGATAGGATAAAACTTAACTTAAATCTAACTATTAGTTTAACTTAATAATTGTCATATGGGTAGAATTATTTTAAATGGACTAGAATTATTTTAAATAATTTTAGTCTGTAAGGAATCATCGTATTACCACAGAGAGCTGTCCTGATGTAAGTGGTAGCATGTCCAGTAGGTATTGAAAGATCTCTGGTTCGAATCCCTGTTACTACTGTGTCCCTGTTACTGGGAACTGTGGATTTTTCACGTTTTCCGCTTCCAAAAGCCTAGTACTCTCTAAACGACTACGCTGTAAATGAATAAAATAGCAAGCAACGAATGTCACCAGAATCTAGTCACTTAACTTTGATACGACTTGGTTACGAATTGCTGAAGATTTAAGTCCACTTTGTCTTATTTATACGCTTCTTAACCTAGAACATATTTGGAATAGGTTCTGCTGAAAGGAGCAAAGGATAGAAAAACGAAAAGCAAAATCGTTTGGATAGGAATTTAACGCAAACGAAACTAGCTTTAATATAAACAGTTTTATCATGCTTCCGTTATACGTGAAAAATCACTGTTTACATATGTTCTTGCATCGGTTGCCCTGGAGTGCTTAAATTAAATTCCTTGTGAAGTCTTCCACGCCGATTCTGAAGCAAACGAATTGCGATGCGTAATCAAAACTAGCATCAAAAAAATTTTTGTTTTCGGCGGAAAACTTTACCAACAAACTAAAGGCCTTGCTAGATGGGAGAAGTCAGTAACTTTCTCCCATCTTCTGTGATGTATTTACGTGCAATAGCTATACTGAGCGAAAGATTTTACATATGTTTAGTTTTCCCTTTTGGGTACAGCATATTAATGTCAAATTTATTGCTTGGGATACTGATCTCCTAAATTCTCTTTTTGCACTCTAGTCCCAAATTCACAAATTTCTTTTTAAGCCGAACCCGACCTAAGTTTCTTTTCTTAGAAGTAACGGTTAGGAAATCTGATAACAAAATTCTCAAGATAGTTTTTCGAAAGCCATTTGCTTATGCTCGCGTTCACTTAACCACTAACTCTGCTACTTTGACAACCTTCTTGACCGAGTCCATAAATATTGTTCTTCCTGAAACAAATGTTTTTGAAATGGCATATTTGTTCTTCATGTGGTCAAGCTTTCCCGCTTATTTTGCTCTTAGAGGAAAAAACAACCATACTTTCAGTAGTAAATATCAATGTAAGTTTTACTTACTCTGAAAGAAAAACTGCATTTAACAGAATTTTACGTTCCTATTACGAAACAGCTATGCTTAAGAAAAATGGTGAAGATAAATAAATAAATAAATAAGTTGTAACTTCTAAGGTGTTTAACTAAGAACCGCTTGTCGCCATACTTAACGGCTGACCTTAAGAAATTATCTGTGATGTTTGGTGGGTTATCGGCTTTGTTAATGTTTACTATGAATACACAAGATAAACTCATGATAAAATCTAACACAGAACTTTATTAGTTACTGTTTGTGGAAATACAACTGAAAGCAGTAACAAAATAAATGATACTACTTTTCATAGACTGTCAACTACAGTGACTAGCTTTAAGCTATAGTTATGACATGATTTCAATTCCAAAAACCTATTCAGATTTACAACACAGTTTTGATCATAAGAAAACAAAACCAAGTAACTTTCTAAAACTTATTGTATAACATTTCATTTAAGATGACTAAGAATTGAATTTATGTTGGTTCTTCCCTTTGCACCTCTTTTCGTCACGTCCTCTCTCAGTCCAGAGGGCTATGCAGATTTTATGGCAAGAGGCATAAGTTAAAATGAGAAGATGAATCGTAACCGGTATGAAATGTAGTAGAGACTTTGCTATTTCCACAGCTGCTGCTTACTTATAGAAAGAAAACTACCATATTGATCAGAATACACAAGAAATAAAAAAATTTCGCGCAATTATTAAATGCTGTAAATTAATTGAGCTGCATCTGTGCTACCTACTTATGTTGCAGCTTTGTTGGCTTATTATAATGTAAAATTTGAGTCAGCTGCAGTTATCGAGAAGACTTTAATGTGTGCTGTATTATTTAAATTTAATTTCACTAATGGTGAGGAAATAATGTTTTAAGTTAACTTTTCATAAAGTTGACTTTTGTAAGATTTAAGTTAATTTAGCGTTGTCTTGGGTCCACAGTCATAACTCAGCAAAGGCGATAACTCGCAGACACATAGAGGTAACTTCTAAGAATGAGCAATTAACAGAAGTAGTTAATTAGATAGATGAATATACATAGATGGACAGACATCCTTGTATGTTTAACCGAACTCTGTAATTTTCGGCCGCATAACCTTCTACTCTGTGAGAGGCGGCGGTGCAACGAGGCGAATTTCACTTCGCTGGCGGTTAAGATTACCGACAGATTAAGCCGTCCATTCATCATAAGTACTGTCGTAAACAAATACAGTAATCTATAAAAAATTACTGAATTATTTACTTTATTTGATAAAGTTTTAAAAATCATTTAAATAATTGGAAAAATTAAGAATCAGAAAATAATTAAAAAGTGCTCATTACTTTAGATATGGTACTAAACATGAGTTAATTACTTATTATGAAACTTACTGTCAGAAAGTTTTAAAAGAAAATTATAAATAAATCAGAAGAAAATGAATATTTTTCAAGTATACAAGCTTGCACACCGAGCTGTAGACACCGAGAACAAAATCAGTTATTGCTCGGTTTGTTTTGAAACATTCTGGAATGATGTATGAAAGATCCACAGGTTTTCTTGAGGACTACAATAAATTCCTAGGCATCATAGTTTCTAAAATTTAAGTATACTTTACGAACGTGCTTTATATTTTATTTCCAAAAATACATAACCATGTAGTTTTGGAACCATGCAAAGGTAAGAGAGAGAACTACAGAGCTATGTAATTGCAACTTAAATTATTTTAAAAATGAAAGACTAGTTTGAATTATGTAATCCTGAAACGTAAATTAAGGCTATCTGGTTATATAAAAGGATGGCTTCGTTGAGAACTTTCTAAGGTTCAAACACGAACTGCTTGAGCGCCGAATGCACGATCTAAAAGGAACTGATAGGCCAATTTGTTTTCCTTAACGAAATGCTTTTTTTACTAAATTTTAAATTATATTTGCTAAATATTCGTCAAAAATAATTAAACACTAGTAATAATGAACCAAAAGAAAAATTCCAATTTATATTTATTTTCAATCTGAAATTTAAAAGTTGTTATATGCAAGAAATTTCTGTTGGTTATATTTTTCTAGTTCATGCACATTGGCAGCTAAATATTATATTTTCAGAAAAACATTTATTTCAAATAATTCTAAAACATTATATTACTTATTCAGAAGTCAAACAACAAAAATCAGCGTTATATTTACAAAATAACACTGATTTTTGTTGTTTGACTTCTGAAGTAGTATTTATTCGGCGTGTTATTGTGTCTTAATTATTATATTACTTACTAAACAATTTATATAAACTAAAAATAAACAAATTACGAAAACTTTCCAAGTGGGACAAAATTTGAGAATAAATAATAACAACCTATTCTCACTCTTTTATTCATTAAATTTTTCTTTGACGCATTTAAAAATGCATTTGTATGTCAATAATTATAAACTTCTTGATTTCTTACAACAGCTTACAGCTACACCATTTCATGGGGTTTCGATTTTGATGACGTTTGTAACCTTGAAGAAAATTTTCTAGAAATTATCATCAGCACGAATCGTAGATGTTTCTCCGTCATTCCTGTTCTTTTCTTAGATTTATTTAGGTTCAACTACGGTAATAATAATAATAATAATAATAATAAATCTGTTCACATATAAATATACTCCCAAGCAAAGCGATTATGCTTTTTTGAAATATTTGTAGCTGATGACTATTTATTTTTTAAGTACGAAAGAATTTAATCAAATCTGTATCTTCCGGCCTTTGAATAAGATTTATATCAGAATACTTGTAGATTTTCTGCGGCGTGTCTTGCGTTTGTTTTAATGGTAATGAAAATAATGTAAAAATGGACTCCAAATTATTGAGTTCTTAAAATTCTTGTAAGGATAATGCTGATTAATTTACGGGAAATGTATTTGCGGGTCGTGTAAAGTTGCTTCGGGGTCGCATGCGGCACACGGATCACCAGTTTGAGACCGCTATTCTAAACAAAACTCTTCCATAGAAAGCCCGTTAAAACTTCATTTCTCTGTAAACTACTGTTATTCATTCCCTTTAATCTACCGGGAATATTTACGAGGTCAAAACTAATTATTGCATTAAAATAAAATATTTAAAAAGCTGAAAATAATTTTTAAGTTATTTAATTTTGGTTCAAACCTGCGAAGTAGCATTCGCCTACGGCCACTGTTATTAGCGATCCTGATTGCAAGAGTCGAAATTTGAATTTTATTCAAAACTCGGTTAGGGCAAGGGAAGGAAAAAGAGAAAAGAAAAGACGTACGTTAAGCATATTTCCATTTGGTAAATAAGCGTATGTGTAATCAACATTAAAACGCATTTTTTTTACTATCCTAAATTCTAAATTTAATTTCAATCCAATCAATTCTAAATT